CATGACTATCACTGGTCACAGTCGCCCACCTTCTGAGCTCCTCGGCATCTGAGCATGAATACTAACTCGTCAGATAGACAGCCTTCCTCTCCCACTAGAGGCTCCATACTCTGCCATCCCTGTCACTGTCCACTGTGTTGTCAGCACCCTCATCCATTCCCCCCTGTCTGCCGTTCTGGTCAATCTAGTCAGCCAGAGGTCCCTGTTCCAGGAGGGTCAGCTGTTCCTCATCTACGGCAATCCATTGTCAGTATTCCTTTGGATAGAATTGGGGTCTGCTGTTCATTTTTCCAGTAGTATGTTGAGTTACTGTCTGGAAGAGCCTTTATCTATCCTAGCCAACAACTCGACTGAAGGTATCGCCTGTCTGGGTTAGGCTTTTGTACTTAGGACTGAAGCAGTTCTCAGGTATTTACTGTATAGTTTTCCATTTGACTGCAGTTTCTTTTTTCTCTTTCCACTAGGACTTGGAAGAACAAAGTCGGTTGATAGCTGCTTCCAGTAGACCAAACCAAGCCTGTAGTGAGGGGCAGTTTGTTGTCCTTAGCAGTAGCCAGTCGGAAGAGAGTGATTTGGGAGAAGAAGGAAAAAAAAGAGAATCAGAAGCATAAACTTGTCGTTGCCTTTTCATTGACTCCCCTTCCCCTTTATGGAGTTTGACAGTTTCTGTGGTGAAATAGCACAAGGTAACAACTATGTTGAAATATCAAGGAGGAGACTAAGCTTTATATTTGCTGTTTCAGCTTCATTTTCAAGAAATTGAACTTGATAACTTAGGTTTACATGGAGCTTTTTCCCTTAAAAATAAAATACTATGCATCAATATTAAATTCCACTTCCCTAAACAAGACCTTATTTTCTTGAAGTAGATTATTGAGGAATTACCCTTAAGCAGGATTTTTTTTTCCCTTCAAATTGTGAACTTTTATCTTGCCTTGTAATTGGCTGTCCCATAAGAAAATATCTCTTCTTTAGGTTGACAGGTTCATGGGTGTGCTCCCTCCCTTTCATGAGGAATGTCTTGCTGGTAGTGAGGGAGTATCCACTGAACTGCTTTAAAATCATTTCTGTAGAGAGTTCTACAAGTTTAAAAATATCAATATTAAATTCTATCAATATTAAGTGTGCAATAGAGCTTGTATAGCATCACTAACACAGGTATTTAATGGTTTCCAATAGCAGCAAGTGGTGCTGTTGATTTCAGGGCAGTTTTTTGATTGTTCCATTTCTCTTTTGTTCATGATTGATACCCTTGACATTTTGTTACCGTATTCTAAGTTCTCAGGTTGGGATTTCAATTATTGCTGCAGAGCAGTAATGGTTAGAATAAGATTTCAGAAATCATTAAAAGAGATTTTTGTTTGTTCAAATACATTTTAGATTAGGATTGACATGTAAAGATACTGTTGCAGGATGATACATTGCATTTCTTTACTGTGTGAAATAACTTATTGATAATCACATAACATTTCAAAAGATGTTCTATAATAGTTATGTTTACTGCTTAGAATAAAAATGTGCAGTTTAGTTTAGAAAGTATAATCTTTTAAATTTCAGATTGATAGTCCCAGTATTTTCGTAATCCCACATTTTGATAATATATTGAATTGCCACTTTATATCCATAAAGGCAAATAACTAATTTATGAGCATAGAATAATTTGCACTAATTATTGTAAATACTTAAACTTTGCAAATGAGTAAAAGATCTAACTCCATGAAAGACTGAAAACAAAATTGAATGCCTGGTATAGTGTACAGGATCGACCAAGGAAGGATCTTAGCCTTGGGCCAAGGTTAAAATGACATTTCTCTACAGTTTATCTTCCATGTCAAAACTTGATTTCTCTTTCCTTACTGAGATTTTAACTTTGCTCATAGAAATTATTTTCATGTGTTCCA